CATTGAACACTAATTATACGTAAATAATAAATTACCGAATAGGATATAAAGTTTAAAAATTGTTAATTGAATTATTAAATACTACATTATCATAGAATATTTAGAATAAAAATATTTTAAATTTGTACAACATTAAGTGTCATTAGAGTTAAGTAGCATACTACTATAACGATTTCTTATAAATGAATATTATCAACCACTTACAATAATATGGTAAATATTTATACTACTGATATGTGTAATGGTTTATTATTACCTGAAAAATCTATTTAAAAAATTACGTGTTCTACTGCGAATTGTCTTCGAATACATTTTGGCGCACAATTCAATTTACACATCCACGTGCCTGTAACTTTTTAAACGTGTTGCGCGTATCTTTTGGTAAATTATACAAGTAATGTAGTACTGAGGACCGTATCCGTTGGTATCTATCACTGCACTGCTTACCTATTTCAAATTATCTATCTATTTTTTTATGTACATGTCCACATGTGTGTATATATAAGATTATATCGTATCATGACTTTATATATGCGCGCGCGTCTGTGTGTAGGTTTCATTTATTACATTATCAGATTGTCTGGTTTTATCCTGCTTCAATTGCCAATAGATGCATCAATATTTATTCAACACATTTGTATCAAATCTAACATTTTTTTAGTATAATTCCAATGTATATGAAAATATTTTAATAAAATATAAAACAATTCAATTGTTTATGACATATTATAAAAAGACTTTTTTGTAATATTTATCAACATTGTGCACCAAATTATAGCATTCTATTAAAGACATATTCAAAAAATATGACAAAAATGATAAAGAATACACAGAAATCTTCATATTTCAATGAATTCATAACCAGAATAAGGTCAAAAAAGAGAAAATCGAACCTTATTCTTACAATAATGTTAATGATTTTTTAATCCACCAATATGATTAATTTCATTCATTTTTTATGAAATAATAATATATGATAAAAAATTGTAGTAATAACTAAAAGTAAAAATAGTAACTTTTGAATGTATAATA